TAATGTTTACTGACATTCAGTGAGCTAGTTGCCTAACCACAGTTCATTTTCCTTATAATATGCAAAGACATTATTCTCTGCAGTCCATTAGAAACAACCTAAGTGAGCTCTCTCTAAAGTACTGTACCCTTTCTTCCTTCAGTAAAAGCAAGCCCCAGGCAAGCTGACTTTTTAGGGGAGGAAGAAAGAGGTGATCTGATGCAAGAAACCTTGCAAAGGCACTGTAAAGCTACAGCCTGATAGTGACCTCTAAGCACTGATTGTTGAAGATTTTCAAAACTCCCACAGAGGAAAGCTCTGCTTCCTCAGATGACAGCAACTAATTCCAGTTTGCTCCTAAACTGTTAAAGGCAAGGTTGGCACGTTCTGCAGCTCAGCACAAAGCTGGAGATCTTGAATCCTAGCACACAAAACTTGCATGTGAATGGACAGTGGTGATCCAAGTGCATTGTTGCGTGGCTGAGCACAGACAACTAAGTTGATCTTTACATTTTCAAGCCACTTGTGAAATATACAGAGGAAACTTCTGTGTTTGTGCACACAGAAGTTGTTATTTCCTTCCCCGACTAAAAAATTAGTGTATGGCTGTTTGTGGAGATGGGTGAGTCTATTTCACAGCAGAATCTTTAAGGGCAATTCCAGGTTCAGTAATGGGGTTTTTTGAGCTCAGAGCCGTGACATTTGGGGGGTTAAAATTCTCAGACTAAGGAGACCTAGGCACCAGTTACCAAGGATGCAGAGAATCCAGCCTTTTCTCCAAACACCATGGCAAGGGGTCCTCTGCTGTGGGGTTTGAACTGTTCTGTGGAGAGGACTTCCCTGGTGAATTGTTTAGAAGACAGTAATAAGAGGCCCGGGAAGATATTAAAAATATTGCAGAACACTTTAAGAAAAGATGATAAACCAAAATTTAAATGGCAAGCCTGGATGAGTAACAGCACCTTTCACCAAACACAAGGGCTGAACAAACTAGAACAAGATATCTTGAAAAACCCTACACAAAGGAGCTAGGTTTATCTGAGGTGAAGACTCTTTTTGAGTTCTGCTTTATAAGGTTAAATTGTTCTCAGTTTCTCATTTGTTGGATTTTTATCCCCTTCAAACCAGAGGGAAACCACTGTAGTTCAGTATCTGAAATCTAAAGTACCACAATCGTTACAGGGAAACTGGGTCACATACAGAGGAAAACTGAAGAAGCCACTTCAGTTGGTGTCCAATCAGGGAAACCACTACTACAATTTTATCAATGGTTTAGATGGAAATCACACTTCACCTGGTGATATCTAAGTTAGTTGTCCAATTTAATGTAAAATTAATATCATCAATCCAACATCCCTGAGAACACCACAAGCCTGTGAGTCACTAAAGCTGTGTTCATGGCTTACTACACCTATAATCATCACACACACTCAGTACACAACAGTAAAGCCCTAAGCCTAGTGGCTTAAACTGAGGGGATCATAAACTGCAAAGTACTTCAGAGGTTTTGACAAAAAAGATTATAATTTCTAAACCCCAAAAGCAGAAACAGGTAGTTTGCATTCTCAGGGTCAACTGGCTTCCAGTGCCAAGATTTACACAGCCTATTACCAACCAGACATGCAGATGCAAACTACTTCCTCATGATCCATCACATAACCTTCACTAGATCATCACTGTAATATTTATAAAGTTCATAAGCATTATGCCAGTGAATTATGGCTTCATGCCACTTTCTCATAGATTGCATGTCTCCTGGAGGAACGGGTCTTTGATTTTCAGGCTCCAGAAAGTAGCCCTTGCATTGCAGCACAGCAACCTGCTGGGGATTTATGGGCATTTCATGAGTGTTTAATGAGGCTTACATTGTAACCAATCTAAACAACTCTTGATCATAGAATTCTGAAGCACATTTAGTAAAGCCAATGAAGCCTAAGACACCTCGAGAGAAATGCTGAGTGAATCAAAACAACCAGCCTGCCCTGTCCATCTTTTCCAGCTCTGCTGGTGAATACAAGACACAAATATACACAGAACAAACAGTCCCTGTTTTATTTCCGCTTCCTCAGTATCACAGTGCATTCAGGATGGGCAGTTGAGACTCACCGATATATTTCTGTGAGCTTTTAAACATACAGATCAACTTTATTCTCTTCAATTTTTTAATCCAAAAATCTGATTTTAAAGAAAAAGAAGACTGTAATGAAGACATGAAAGCAACATTTTAAGAGTATTATCTAATGACATTCTGAAAGGCAAAAGTCTCACTCTTGGAAGGTATTTAAGCGCCTTATTTAGGTCTTAGAGAATCTGGATCCCCTAAAAAGGGTTTATATTTGCAAAGGTAGCTATTAGGGTACTGTTATTTAATATACAGCATTTGAAAGACATAAGTTAATTATACATACATGCAGCCTTAAATCTGATGTATTCAATATCTGGCACCTAACAGACGTAACATCCTTAAACATTTTGAACAAGGTTTTCCTAAAGTTAATAATTAGAATGAAACACTTATCTAGTTTCATCAGGAACCTTTCTGCTTTAAAATCAGATACCCACAAGCTCCTGCAAAAGGAAATGATCCAGGAAGGAAAGAAACTCGTGTGCAGTGCTCTCATTTAAAAACGAGAGGAGCAGTGGCTTTCTCACTTTGAAGGATCCATGCTGTTATACGTGCTTATTCAGATATACTCTACATTTAATATAAACATTCATGAGGTTAAAATTAATTTAATTTTCACAAATATTCATGTGTAGAGCACCTGTCTCTGCCAACTTTTACAATTGAAACTGGAATATTTTAGAGCCTAATTTTCCCTACAAAGCAGCAGTGGTTTTGCTGATTAGCACATCTTTTTCAAGCTCAAACCTACACATGCGATTGATCTACAAAGTCTCTTTTGTATGAAAACCATTTTTGAGCTGTAAATGCTTGAAGAGTGCTGCTGCTGCTTGCTGTACCCTTCTTATACTAACCTTTGCTGTTGGTGAAGTTGGGATGATGTTAACAACAGGCAACTATTCTGGAAAGAGGCGGGAGGCAGCAGACACAGTGGAGAAAACACCATTTAGTAGTTCTGCTTCTTCCTAAACATTACCCGCCAGCCACAGTCAGAGTCAGGCTCCTAGGATAGAAATACTTTCGACAGGACCCTCTATGGTTTCTCTTCAGAGCAACGTACAAAGCTAGTTTTAAATGATCACTCCTGAAGGCATTTAACTTCCTAATGTTTTTATTTATCTAGGTTTTCATTCTTCAGACTAATCCAGAAAAGAAATCAGCTTTGCTAAAGTAGAGAGAGGAAGATCGATGAGGGGGTGAGAGATGCGACGAGCGAGAGCTGATAGAGAGGAGAGATAGAGGAGAGAGAGAGGCGAGAGAGATGATAGCAGGAGATGAGATGCGCCTGAGGGTAGATGATGCGGATATCTTCTGGGAGATAGAGAGGAGAGCGATCGGCAGCGCGCGAGTCAGAGAGCGCTGCGCGAGTCGTATGATCGATATAGGTCCGAGCTCGGAGAGCGAGATGCGATGCGCGAGGCGAGCGCGAGGATAGCTCGAGGCGCCGCTTCTCTTCTCTTCTCTTCCTAACTTCTCCATTTACATGTTTTGCAAATTTGTTTCACTACAGAAAATAACTACTATAACATTTAGGGCTGTCTGGCCATGTCAGTGGCATTGGCACCAAGAGCTTTGACTTTCCTGCTCCATGTGGTACTGTGCAGACTACAGGTCAGAAAGCAAAATCATTCAGAACTTTGTCTTCTAGCATGCCTTTTGTCAGGAAATACTGAACGCAGAGCTAACAAATACTTGTAGCTTTGCTCTCATTGCTTGACATAATAATAAATACCTCACATTGGAGTGACTTCCAGCCTTTTTGAGTGTAGGTAGTCAGCAACAATTCAGCACTCTCACTTAAAAGGTAAGATTAAGCTGTCAGAAATATTATCTCTGTGCCAAAAGTTACATGGAAGCTTACTGACAGCAATCCTTGCTGTTGCTTGTCTCATTTGCCCTGTGACAATGGGATTCTGTCTTTATTTTTGAACTTTGAGTTAAACAGCTGTCAAGTTTAACTTATTTGTATAAACTAGCGTGGACAGATTAGTCCCTACTGATGTGCCAGTTATCTTGAGATTAATGGGAAATCCAGAGCTAGCAAGTCAGAGAGGCAAGTAGTCTGAAGGGGAGAGAAATGCAATCCAGCAAAATCATGAAGTAGCTTCATCTTTTGGTTTTTGTGACTCTCACTTGAGAAAACAAATAGCCTGCTGTAACAGCCAAGGGAGGAGAGCAATGTTTCTGTGCTATAATGAACCGAGGAACTGCAAACACAGAGGTGCCTGTTCTTGAAAGAAGAGAAATTTGATGGTACAATATGGGTAGCTTAAAATCACTATCTAAATTCTGAGATTTCCTAAGATACTGCCATAATACAGCTCTTCTCTTTTCCAGTGTAATCTAATGTTACATATTTAGCCATCAAATATTAAGAAACAATCAAGTGTCTGGGGATGCAAAAGAAACCCTCCCCCTCTCCAAAGCTGCTCAACACAACCTCAGAGTTACACAGCAAAAGAGGGAATACCAAGTTTTCACTTTGGTTGAAAAGTTATGGGTCATAAAAAGAAACAGAAATAAGTTTCTGATACATATTGACGTCTGAGGGGTTATCCTTATTTACTTCAGCAACAGAAAGATACTGACACTGCAATACAAATTAATATATACCCAATAGAAGTCCTATAAATAACACTAAGAAAATGAAGAAAGCATGCAGCTGGGAAATTCCAAACCCCTCTTTTCCTTCTCCCACAGTACTATATATAGGTAATATATTTTTGTTTATGTTTTTTTAGAACATTCACTACAGTGAGGCAGAATTTTAGAGGATAGCAGAGATGTATTTATACACTCACATACCATAAAGCAGCAGTGATGTAAAAAATGGCAAGGAAAATAAATTACTAAGTAGCACAGAAATAGAGATTGCAGCCACTGTCCCAGTCCTTACCTTTCAGAGTTGCCTTCTTAAGTACCTTCATGGCATAAAGCTGGCCTGCATCAGATCCTTTGATCTTCCTTACTAGAAATACCTGTAAAAAGCAAATGTTTTGTACAGATAAGTACTGAATTTCTACTTATAAGCCTTACTGCATTTGACAGGAGAAAAGATACTATTGTTCAGGAAATTACTAGCTGAAAGTATTTAATATCTATTTCACCGGCAATTGGTTGAGCTAGCTCTGGAAATTTTCAGTTTTAAGCCTTTACCACCTCAGAAAGAAAATATGTTCAACATTATTAACTGCCCTTATATATCCAATTAAAGTTGGGTGAAGAGTCAGAATTAGTGTGCACATAGCTCTTCATATTCTGACCAACTTTACATGAAAAAAATTTATATCTCATTTGTGTTTTGGAATGTGCAGTGTCTTAAAATTATTGCCATCAATTACATTACAGAGAAAAACCAATTTGGTCTAATTTATGCTGGAAATCATGAATGGTGACTTTGCCTAAGATGTAACTGAAGCAGAAAGTCCATACAGCTGAAAATCTGTTATTCTAATAAAGACAGTTTTCCCTGTTATAGTCTCCTATGCCTCATCTTCTGACAGTGTAAATTTTTAATTGAAATAAACTAAAGTTGTAGCTAAAAATGTATTCTATTTGTTTTACTCCATGCAAATATATTTATCTGCCCCTGAGTGCATCTGAGCACTGGAGAGGTAGTGAACAAAGAAATCAGTAGCTTAGTTTGGTCTTTATAAGACTTTCAGTGTTTTAATAATTGAAAATAAAATAAACAAATCTTTTAGTTGATTCCCAGGACTTACTCTGTCTGCTGAGGTCAGAAGTACCAGACAACAGTGTCTTTTTTTATTTTTTTTTATTTCAGCACTTGTGTTACTGGACAGAAGCTGAAGACAAACACAGAAATAAAAATACAGTACCACGTACATATAATTACAAATATATAAATTAACAAAGTCTAGGAGAAATTATATAACTGATGAATGTCCAGTTAGATTAAAAATTCTTTAGCAATTAATTTCCTGTCCAGGAACCATGCAGCTTTGTTAACTGTCTCCACCTAAAATATAAAAAGCCAAAAAAAAGAGGAAGTCTGTTTCTAGTGCATTATTTGCAAGTTGAAAGACTCTTCTTGCTAAAATAAAAATCTGTAAACAGATTAGGATCTTCTCAAACATCCTTTAAGGAAGGGTTTGTGTGGAGGGAGAATAGCTTTTACCAAACAGGTACAGAAGCTAGAAATAGAAAAAAACCCCAACACCTTAATTAGAACTGTTACATCTGACAGCATCATTGCTACCACACTTCTGCATGTGATCTGATACATTTTTGGTGAGACTTTCCTTCTCAAGATGTTTCCTGTGTATAGGAGATATGCACAGTTCCTCAGCCAAGCTGCCCTGACTAGCTGAGCTTGGGCACATGTTGCTTGTTCCCATCTCCTGTTTCCTAGTTTGATGAACACACAAATAGCTCCGGCACTCACAACTGTAGGAACAAATGATGAAATCTGGATCCAACAGGAACACATAAGACTTTGTGAAGTGTTTTTCATTAACATTCATGATAAATTAAGCTCAGCTGCTCCAGCATTAACAGGAAGTCAATCCATTTAGAAGTTTACAGAGAAAAGCTGGGATATTTTTCTATCCAGCTCAAGTAAAAGATTTAATTTTTGCATTACATTGAAAGGGAGCAGAAAGTCAAAAGCAAGCTTGCCCAGACAACAGATTTTCAGCTGTATTATTATTATTCTGTAAAAATGGTTATGGACTCTTTACCCCAAAAAATGCCAAAACTCAAACCCTTAAGACAATGGTTTTAAGCAGTAGTGCACATAGAAAAGCACAGCATGCTGCATCTGCAGAAATATTAGGCTGCACTTCTAGAAATATCTTGTCTGCCATGTAATCTTGCAAAACTTGTAATACCTGTATTGCTATAATAAGCAAAATTACCAATTTACGTTACTAGTCACTAGTCAGCTGTTCCCTGTAGCATGGGATAGGGCACTTGTCTGCATTCCTTCCAAAAAAGATGAGTCAAGAACACTGTGTTCTTTATCATAGGACACCAAACTAGTCATCAAACCAAAAAAGGAAACAGAACAAATGAAAATGCATTGTACTGCAAAATTACATCATCCTGATTATTCTTAAAGGTAAAGCTACATCACTCTTGAAACCACTAAGTGGCCCTGGAGTGCTTACCTGACTGGTTATATTAGCTGTACTATACTAGTTTCCCAAAATAGCATGGGCATGTGGCTGAGCATGACTTTCAGTTTTCTATTTTAATATGTTTGCAAGCACCTCAGGTTATTAACACCTGAACTAGCAAAACTCCCTGAGCTGGAACAATTGGTTTATCACCCAAATCCTAATCTAGAAAGCTAAGCAAGTGCTATGCCTCTCAAGAGTGTTGAGGCCACTCCCTTAGAAATTATCTCTAATCCTGCAAGAAATTATTTAGACCTTGGGTGAACAACTTGAAAACCTAAAGGTTTGCATCCCCAGACACTTATGATTTGAACCATTAGCTCAAATACCAAGGTGATGAAAATTTAGGTGGTTGAAGACTGCATAAGAAACATTAAGTCATTTGTAATCACGCGCAGCTCCAAACAAGTATGATGTTTATACTCACACTCTGATCTCCCAGAAATTAGATCTCCTTTTAGGAAGTGGTGGCAGAGATTAGGCATTCTGCTTATAAAATGGCTAAAGCTAGAAGGCCAACTCAAACAGTTAATACCAATATACACCAATACACTATAAGACAGACAGCAAACCATTTCTAAAATCTTTACTGCCTGAATCTGAAAACTGGCCATTCTGCCCATGTTGCTTTTGCAGAAGACACTTCCTTCTCTTGCTCTTCTCCTTGTATTGAGTCATACAGTAAACCTAATTTTGAGTTGTTTGATTTTTCACATTTATTTAATTTTAAAAACTCAAATATCATCACTGTGTTCTCAAGAAATTCTCTAGATCAAAACTTGGTATTGAACGTTAACTTTCCTGATATCTCTCATGTCAGGGAACTTATGATAGACTTAATTATCAATATAATTCTAGAATACTCAGGAAGTTGATAAATACTCTCAATATAGCTTCTTTTAGGAATAAAACTAAAGGCCCTGATTGGGAAGTATTTTCAAAAAAACTCACAAAATAATATACTTACAATTATAAGGTCTTTCATGCCTGGTTTCAATTAGGTTTACTGTTCCAAAGGTTTCAGTGACTTATTTAAACTATGGAAAGACTTTAAGGCAGAACTGACTCTTCCCTCTTTCTTTCCATCTTTCATTCCTATTCTCATTTCCAACTAATATGTCCTGCTGAAGAAGAACTGTCTTTGGGATTCAGAAAATCGTTGGTCTTAAGGTTATGTGAAGAATGCTATTTCCATTAATTAGCTTGTGGACATGTAGCCAGGTTTTTTCCCCCCTATGATCTCACCATAATGATGGCCATCCTCTGCAGTGGGGTTTATCTCCAGGATCCTTTCAAGGTCTCTGAGTGTGAGCTTAACAGCAGTCTGGGACTTGGAAATGTGCTTGAGGTCCCATTTGCCCTTAGTGGGAACTGTGCAGCTGACTTCTTTAAGTCTTTGAATGCTCCTATTTATATCCTCCAACTAAGCAGCAGTGGCACACTCAACTCCCTGGTGAACAGGTCAGAAAGGGAAGAGAATCTAATTTTATAAACAGTGATGCTCACTGCCCAGAACCCTAAGCATTATTTGCTAAACTGGTTTATATGTAGAAATCAAGCTAAAAGACAAAAGTTTTATTAAAATGAACATAGAAGAGCTTTGCTTATCTGCCTTTACAATATAATTTATATATGGACAACGTTATCAGTGTAAATGAACTCAGAGAAAAGATATTATATTTTCAGTGTTGCTCTAGGTGATTAGATAACAATAAAAATTACCTTCCCATATGAACCTTGTCCTAATACTTTCAGCAGCTCAAACTGAGAAGGATCTGCTTTTTCAAAACCTTCCTTGACATGATGACTGATGTCTATTTCCTTCACGATACCTTCTTCCTGCAAAGAAAACAAAACAATATCCCCAAATCAGAGCTCTTATCCTAAGGAAACATATTAATTTTTAAAATCTCATCTTCTGTGACACTATAATGATGTAGCAAATTTTGAAAATAGAAACAAATGCTTGTCCAAATATTCCATGTGCCTTTTACTGGCTGGGGATGGTAATTGTTTATTGAGCCTCAAGATATGACTAAGTAAAGACAGAATACACAAACTGAGGTCAAAAATATACTGTGGAACTTGGTATGCCCATCAGAGACCTTGCTAGCAGAGTGGCATGTACTTGAATCTGTACTACAGAGGGTCCAGCACAGACTTTCTTGCTTGCAAGAATTAACTTCGGATTTTCCAGGTTCTTTTGTTAAAATATTTTCGCTGTCAATAGATGCATATTCCTCAAAGACACCAGTTCAATTAGGACTTTCATCTTGAAAGCTGTGACATATGGCATTTGTTTTAGTTGTTTGTTTCATGTTTTTTTGTCATGTTCCTCTAAAAAGAGAGCGACTGGGTCATGTGAGACCCAGAGGGACTACACAGTTTGCAGCAACCCAGAAAGTCACTGAGCTGAAAAGAAACCTTGAAGAAAGGACCTGCTTTTCAAGGACACAATGATAAGGGAAGATAATATTTAGACTTATTTTTATTTTGTATGTTTTGTACACCTACATTTGAACTTTTTGGTTTGGGCTTGTGAGTGTTTTTTTTCTTTTTTTTTTTTTTTTCCTCCAAACTACTTGTTCTAACTTTCCTACAATGAAAATACAGATTTTGAGTACAAAACTTATTTTTTTTCATATTCCAGTTTGAGGGGAATTACTAATTTAGTACATTCTGTACTAAACAAGAATAAATTTCATTCTCTTCTCATCCAGAAAAATTGCTATCACTTTCTACCAGCTGTAATTCATCGGATACATGGCTTGCACTACTAAGATTGCTTTCTATATTGTAACTTCATTCCTCCTCTTCCCTACCCTGCCCCTTTGCACTCATGTGCTTTGGAACAGGGGCTGTATCTTCTGCTTGGTTTGGAAAGCTTTATCTACTTTGTACATGCTACCACAGTCATGGAAAGTAATCATCATCTCACAACAACTCATTTTTCTGAACCTAATTCCTCTAGTTTAAGGTTTGCCTGAAAGGAAATGCTTGAAACTAATGAACAGTTTTCACAGAGGGATTTAAAGAATTTCTAAGTACATAACTGTCAGGACCTCTTTTCTCATTTTTCTGGATTTATTTGCTGTGGGAGATATTAAATGTATAATTTTTTTTAATTTATTTTTTTCCTAGGTGAGAAAAACAGTAGTAAATTCATACAACTTCAGTACTCTGTATTAGCTGTTTCCTAAAGAAACCCAGTATTATCCACATGCTGTTATCAAAGGCTCCACCAAGTTCAGAGGTGATGAGTATTCATACCGAGGGATATGCATCTTTAGTAAACTGCCTGCAGCTGAGAGACTTGCACATTGATAAGAACATTATTTCAAGCTTAGCCCACCCTGCCATGCTGCAGTTTAGATAAAGTATCTGGAGAGCAGGGCTCACCATCCATCTTGTTCAGCGGTTACACACAAAGGATAAAAATTACTCCCCAAAGAGTTGGCCTCCTGAATCACCTCCACACTAGACCTCATGTGCTTGAGAGTTTGCTCTCTATGAAGCACAGGCAGAGTTTGGGAGGATTTACTTCTGCAGGTCAGTCTCTTTGTGTGGACCCCCACTTAAAAACCATGGTATGATGAAAAAAACTGCATGATATCTCAAGTCAATGCAGCTTGAGGGCACCTAGTCACTATTTCATGATTTGGCCCATCTTTGTTTTGCACAGAAGCCCAGCCCAGCAAGAACCATCCACTGCAACCAGGTGATGCAGGATGTGGATGCAAATTTGGAAATTATTCAGGAGACAAAACTCTGTGAAAAGGAAACTAACCCAAATTTTATATACACCATGTACCTTCCTCAGATTTTCTTCTTCTTTGAGCTGACACCTCGATCTCAAAAACGGTGGATGAGATCTACTACAAACAGCAAACTCCTTTTTAATTCAGCTAGATTGTACTTCAGCCTGAACCATGAACTCATTGTCAGCAACATTTGCAAGTTTAATGATGAGTGAGTTTTAATTTGTCCATTCATATTAGTCATCAAAGTCTTAGGCCTACAACCTTAAGAATATTTCTCATTGTATTACTAAATATAATATAACCTCTTTAAGTTCATGAAATGTGTTCAGTTACAGGAATATATTAAAAGTATTAAGGTGTTGACAATTCAGCTTGCTGGAAGAATGCTTAAAAATTTCTAGCATTTCCAGAGATTAGCATAATTAATTAAAAACTTGCAATAAAACCAATAATTACATGCATCTTTAATTAATATATCAGAAAAAAAAGATATTAAAAAGAATGGAACCAAATACAAGGCCTACCAAAGTTTATCAGAGAAGCACAGATTCTAAAGATGGGAAATATCTGTTAGATTTTGTGACTTCATTAAACTGTAAAAACGTTGATTAGAAGAGGCTTCTAAGGGTCATCTTGGTCAGACCAGCTGGTTTTTTTTACTGTGGTTTTCAGTGTCTCAAACAATAAAGCTTGAGCCACTTCCTATGAAAGAATATTCTCTTTCAATTTGCCCAAAGTCAAGTCAAGCTGCCTGATCCATGAGTCCTTAGGAGGAAGCAGGATATTTTTCTAGGAAGGTAGGATTTCCTGTGGATTTCCTGTGGTCTCCTCACTAGAAAGGGGCAGCAAAGCAGCACTGAAGAAAAGCATGCCAGACATCTATTTTTTCACCGATCAGCACCACAGTGGTGGCACTTGTGAGCTGTCCAAAAGGGAGATAGTATTTTAGCTAGTATGACAAACCCACTTCCCGCTGGAGCAGAAAGCCAAACTGTCAGTGCTTGAGACTGAAGATGGACACAGCCCCTTAAAGGAAATATATGCTGATGTGTTTGCACACATGCACCCATTTGCCTTGCATGTGTTCCTATATCTTATTACTTACTTGGCTGCATAAATTCTGGAATAACTTCTGTTTGTATTACCTTACTAGGAAAAAAAAATCCACAAACCAAATGCTCTTATATTCTTGATTAATATTCTTACTTATTTTGTAGGATTTTCTCATTTACATCTTTTGAAGTCTCCCTGTATTACATTAATAGGGAATATGGCATAATTTTTCTCAGATATTGATGATCAGAGTGAAACCTAAACTATCAAATCACAGATCTCTCAACTGTTTTTGCTCTAAGTTGCATCTTAAGAACTTCTCTAACATGGACTTTTTTTTCACTGTTCCAGCAAGTGCAGCATATCTGCATCAGGAATTTGCATAACAACAATAAAACTGAGGCAAGAGATTCACAACACAGACGAAGCCTGCATACTGAAGAAGCTGTTTTGATGAGAAGGATTTCACTCTGGAAAAAAATAGCAGCCAACTTTGAAAATGGTTTTGATCAGTGAAGTTGGTGGAGTCAAAAATGAATGTTCCATAGTTTGATCTTGCAACAGCTGTGCACAGCATCCCAGGCTCTTGCTCCCTGCTGACTTGTCCTGACATTGCATTAGCTGGAATGCTTGACTTGATGAAGCTTAATCTTTCGTAAACTTCTCTAAATATTTATGTTTGCACAAAAAGCATCATCCTGTGACAAAAGTGAGATGGATATTTTGGCGGTTTGAAGAAAGCACATGGTCAAGCAGGACAGACTAGAGGAGGGAGGGCAATGAACCAGAAGGATAAAAGAGGAATGGAGAGTGCTTCTCTATGCTACTACAAGAAAGACCTCTTCAGGGTCTGATTCTATACTGTATTACTCACTTAGAGGCTTCCCCCAAGGTGGCATAAATTTTGGAGATTAAAGTAACCCAGTATTTGAATGAAAAGGCCATTTTGATCTGCTCTCCCTTGGGACAAAGGAGAAGAGAGCTTCTGTTCTTGTTTTGTGACTATGGATAGCACAGGCCCCTCTTGAAGAAAGAGAGGCCCTAATGCCTGGTGGCTGATGGAGAGCAACCATGGAAAACTCTTCTAACTGCAACAATACTTCCCAACTCACTGTCACATACTGGAGTAGGATCAGAAAGTGTAGGGTTATGGACCTGGGAGTGAAGTGCAAAAAGCCATTCAAAAGGACAGGCCTTCCCAGAGAGCAACTCTTTTCACTTTAGCTGTAGTCTCTTATCTTGCCTGTTTTACAGCCTCTCAGCAAACATTATGGAAAGAATACCTCCTAGAAAATGGACTGACTTAATCCCTTTTGGAGTCCTGTCTGGCTACTCTCCAAGAGGTTTCTGAACAAGCAGCGCCAACGTCATCAAAGTCAGAGACCACATTAACTGTGCCCAATATATTTCAGCCACACACAAAAAACTTTCCTCACCAAGACTTCAAACACCTGGAGAGGTGGTTATTCCAGAATCAGCTACTTCTGCCAATGGAAAATTTTATGCTGCCATATCACAGGGGCAAAAGCCATGGTGCTAATGTGAGATTTTACTCCTTGCCTGGCCATCTCTTCAGTTGCAGAGGATCAAGACTGGGATACAGGTATGGTCATAATGGGTTAGCTTCGTTTTTTAATAAAAATATGTGCACTTTTGATGTGTAAGTTTTGCAGTCAGGCTTGCGTGCTGTAAGGTTTGAGGACAATAAAGAAATGAATGAAAATGCGGCAAGAGGAAATAAGAAATAATGATAACTCTGAAGTTATGTTATTGTCGTTTGAGAGAATTGTTATTTGTCTATAGCATATGCTCAAGATACAGACTTTATTTTGTTACCAGTCTTGCCATTTGGCAGGTTACCACCTAACATAAACCCAAATCACAACTATTTAACTTCCAAGTATCACAGGCATTACAACATTCCAAAATAATACAGTTCATTAAGCATTTTTAAAATCTGATATGGGAATAGTTAGGACAGGATATGTCTGATAAAGATGAGGCCAGGTTTCCACCTCTGTTTAC